AGAATTGATGCCTTTGAGTTGTGGTATTGGAGGAGAATACTAAAAGTGCCATGGACTGCCAAAAGAACCAATAGATCTGTTTTGGAAGAAGTGCAGCCAGAGTGCTCCTTGGAGGCCAGGAGGGCTAAGCTTCGTCTCCCCTACTTTGGACATATTGTCCGGAGGAAACAATCGTTGGAGAAGGATGTCATGCTGGGTAGGGTGGAGGGTCAGAGAAAAAGAGGAAGACCCCCAACGAGATGGATCAGCCAGGTGGCATCATTGATGGACTCAAGTGTGGCAGTGGTAGTGAGGTTGGCCCAGGATCGAACATTGTTTCGTTCTGCTGTACATGGGGTCGCTATGAGTCGGTTCCGACTCGATGGCACCTGACAACAACAACAAAGGCATGAAGTGACTGGCTTACAATTTTTCAAGAGGGAGTTTAGTTTTAGAGTATGCGGGGGAAGGTAGAATTTCCACTGAATAGTTTTCAACTTTTTCAGAAAGGTCTGGTGAAAGGAGTCTTGTGATTCAATAGTGAGTAACTGTTACTATGACTAATTGTAACTGTCACAACTGTAAAGGTAGAAGTTTTGTAACAAAAAGGGGGGAGTAGTTAATCTTACAGTCCAGAAACAGAGGACCCTCAGACCATCAAAGGAGAAGAGCATGAGTGGAATGTGGGACCCTATTCAGAAAAGCAGTGACACCATAGATGGAGGCAGAGATGGAGACATGGAGAGAGGGAGCAGCTGAGGACTCTAGACTCAATGAAAGAGAAAGGCTGTGTGCTGGCGGCCAGGAGGCAGCTTGCAGAATGTGCTCTTTCGTTGTTTAAATGATTATATATTCCTGAGTGTTTCTGTGTATATGCAAAAAACAGAGGAAATAGAAGTAACTACTGTTGAATAAGGATGCATGGAGAAGAATGCAATCACTGCAATGAAACGATGAGTGTAAAACTGATGTTCTCCCATGTAAACTATCATTCAATTCACAATAAAAACATAGGAAAAAATATATACATATATTTTAGCCAGGAAAACCCTATGGAGTGGTTCCACTCTTATAAATGGGGTTACTACAAGTCAGGATCCATTCAAGAGCAACAGGTTGCTTTTTGTGTTTTCTCCTCATGCCAGCTCTCTTAACTCCAGTCACAACGCTAAAAGCTGATACTATTATTCAACCATTTTGCAATTGAATATGCTATGGTTCAGAAAGAGTTAAATCACCTGCCTAAGGTCACACAGCTGGTAAGTAGCAAAGCTAGGCTGGGAGCTATCTGCAATTCTAAACCTGGGCTATGTACATCTATGAACACTGTGCTTCATTTTGTGAAAACTGCTCACAAAAGTGAGGAATTGCTGTCATTATTATTTATAAAGCCCAAGGTAGAAAAAAACTTTGTTATGAGAGGTGTTCCCCTCCCACTCTCCCTTCTTGATGTTGAGAAAAGCAAAGTATGCAGTCTGCTCATTTCTGCTGTCTCAGACTATCAGAATTCCAAACTGTCTGGGAGAGCCAACCTAAGAAAGCATGAAATTAATCTTTTTAAACTTAACGTCTTCGAGGCGTCGCGTCAGTATTTGGGTTGGACATAGCCTTGCTATCATAATGCAGATGAAACCCCAAATTTAATAAGGCTAAGACAACTCGGGCCATGTAAGAAACGTAACAGGATATTGCACAGAGATTAGGGAGCTTCCTCCAGATGGTGTGGAGAGGGCAGGGTGGGGCCTGAGGACAGAGATGCCTGGGCAGAAGGGAGTCTGGCTTCTCAGTGGCAAGTCGGCAAGTTGAGGCACTGCCTGGTGTAGGAGCAGAGGCTTCGCAGGCTAAATTTAAACCAGCTGCATGGATGGGGGTGTTACAGTTGGATGGGGCAGGGGAGGCTTACCTCATGAAAGAACTGTGGAAATAGCTGCTGGAAAGATAATAAAAGGATTAACTGCTATTTTAGTGGGCCATTTACTCTTCAATCAAAATGTCTCATCTATTTCCTGTTCTCCAGAGGCTCAGAGCCCAAAATTCCTTTGTCTATTACAGTGCCTGGTAGCAGAGGCCTGTCATGAGAAATTAATAATTTTACAAGGAAGGGAGATTTTCTTTATCTGGGTGCAGACTGAAGCCCACCTCTTCCCCCTGGGTTACCCACTGCTCCAGCCTTGAAGGGCAGGGAGCATTCCCAGGAGCTGCCAGGGAGGAACTAGGAAGGAGGCTCTGAGAGGTCAGATCTCAGCTAGGAGGCTTCAGATGGTGGCATCCAGCAGGGCCGGCCTCAGAGAGCAGTCTAACTAGAAAACATGGACATGAACGAGGGCATTCTAGTTTACAAAGCGGCGGGTTCAACTTCAACTCTATTGCCTATTAGCTGTACAACATTTTTAGGCAAGTTATTTTTATCACAGTTGCTATTATATTGTTATTATGATATGTATACATAAGAATCACCTGGGGATCTTGTTAAAATGTAGATTCTGACTCAGTGTGTCTGGGGTGGAAATGCAAATTTTCAGCAAGGGGTCAAACCAGAAGAAACTGCCTCAAACTCTTACTATTATAATTGCTATTCTTGTTTGAGGAGTTATTACTTGAGGAGTCCTGTAAGATAAGCACTGCACTGCTAGGGTATCATTCGATTCAGCAGACTCTACACCTAGAGTCCTGGTGTGGTGCTGTGGGCTAATGCATCAGACTGCAAAGTGGTTTGAACTGCAAGGTCGGTAGTTCAAACTCACCAGTTGCTCCTTGGAAACCCTATACAGGGTCGCTATGGGTCAGAATCAACTTGATGGCACTTAACAACAACAACAACACCTGGTTTGGGTCTGCCACTCGGGACCCAGAACCCTGAAAGGTCAGTGGTTCAAGCCCATCAGTAGCTCCTCAGAAACCCTACATAGGGTCACAATGAGTCGGAACCAACTCAATAGCACTGAAAAATAAAACAAAACCTACCAGGTTTTATGAGAACCACATGGCACTGTTGCTGAAGATGGCCCTTGGATACCCTCAGCACTACAGTGTGTCGCTAATCTCCAAATCCATCCCTGACCATTAGGGAAAGGATGGTGGCAGTGCATGCTCCTCCGGGTCCCGAGTGGCAGGTCCAAGCCAGGTGTAGAGTCTGCTGAATCGAATGATACCCTAGCAGAAAGAAAACTTAAGAGGTTTCATTGATACCTCGGTAAGTAACCTATGCCCCTGGATCCATGGACGGAGCCTCCATTTTCCAAAGTGGAAATTGAGCAGCAAGCAGAGGTGGAGTACCCAGTAAGCAAGGTAAGCATAGCTTTACTTGTGTGTACTAATGCTAATACAGATTGCTTACTGGGCTCTCTGTCCCTATCAGGGGATTTTGCATTTGAAAAGAGGTTTTGATTTTGGAGGAAGGTGCTGTGGGGTTGGGAGAGAGACAGGTGCCAGACATGCATAGAAGTAAATCTTTACCACAGGTTACTGAGCAATCCAACATCAGTTAACAATTGCTTACTGGGTAATTCAACACTGTCTCTAAGAGCCCTCGTGTCCAACATAGATAGACCCAGGACGCTGTGATTCTACACAGGAGACTCGCTGAGGAGACCACTGAAATGAGCCAGCCACAGCAAAGGAGTGGAGAACACTAGCTGAGCAGCGCCGGCTCCAGGGTCTCAGGGAAAGATAAAGCCCTCTCTGTGCACCAACTTCCAGTAGCTGTGGCCTGTGGTCTCTGTCTATTGGTCATCTCCTTCCAAGGAGGAGGCTGCTTTTCAGCAAACCACATGTCACAAGACCCCAAATGAACTAGACACCCCCATGGACCAGCTCAGCCACACATCTCCTTCCAGCATACTCTCAACGCGAATGCAGGTGATAAACTCAAAAATTCTCAACCTGCTCAGTCCAGCATTTTCCCATCACACCCTTCCAAAAACCAGAGCACCAACCACAGGTGCCCTCCTGCTTTCCATTTCTGTGCACAAGCTGTTCATCACATAGAAAGTGAACTCCCGCTTTTATTCTTCAAGACCCAGCATCGTTGAAGCAGAATTAACTCATCCAGCTGAATGCTTCGCTCACAGCTCTACGTACAGGTGAGGCCCAAAGGCAAACACCTGGCCCCAGGAGAATGGCCTTTTGCTGCTTCCTACCTCCTACCTGGCTGTTAGGAATGCTGCAGGCACACAGAGGGGGGTTCACCTTTACACTATCACCTGGGGGTATGTACAGCTGTCTCATGCGCCCCTTTCCTGATGGAGCAATCCAAGGATGGCAGGCCCCAACAGTGACAGTAAGGCCTTAGCTGAAACACTGGCTCCTTCAGACCAGACACACTGCTGCTTCCTCTGCCTCATCAATGCAGAGAAGTGACTGGCAGCCACCCAGACCATCCCCTTCTACTCCCAGGCAGCTGCCTTTGCCAATGGACTGGCTGGGCCTTGAGGGTGAGCACAGCAGACATGTGAAGATATCAGGAGTTAAGACCAGGTTCCCAGCCTCGGACACAGATTTCCATTATAGTGAAAGCAGAACACAGAGCTGATCAGCAAGAAGTTCATGTGTGCTTGTGTGTGTGTCTGACCTCTAGCCTGAACACCATTGCATCTTACCCATGGTCTTAATCTAAATGCTGCCCTGGGGACTCACAGCCAAATTCCTGTGAGGACCTGGGGTTCCAAGAGGAGGTTCAGGCATCTGAGCCTTCCTGGCAAGGATGCTGGTGAAGGGCCATTGGTGGGTAGGACAGGGAGCATGTACACATGAAAGAGAGAAGGCAGGCCAAGCCTGCTGTGACCTCACCACCAGATACGATGTGTGACACCAGACTGTGTGGTCACCGAGGGGACTAGGGTAGCTGGTGAGTACAAGAACTCCTCTGCCTGGGTGCCCCACATTGAGGGCACTGACCATCACGACCAGGGGCCAGGCCCATTAGCACTGTCCCCCTCCCTCCCCAGCCATAGGGGCTCTTGTGCTCTTTGGCCCTCTCCCAAGACAGTGTTAGGCTGGTGGTCTGACTGCTGGAAACTCACCATACACTTGTTGGGCTTCTCACCAGAGTGTACTCTCATGTGGATGAGCAGCTTGTAGCGAGCGTTGAAGGGCTTGTAGCGCCTCACACAGCCAGCCCAGAAGCAGGTGAAGTCCTCGCCCTTGCGCTGGTCAATGTGGCTCTTCTCAATGTGCCGCACCAGCTCCTCCTGCTGTTCATAGGCAGCGCAGCAGTCCACCCAGCGGCATGCCTGCTGCCCGGCCACCACCCTACCCACCAGGCCCAGCCCTAGGCCTCCAGGTGGCAACTGAGACAGGGGGTATGGGGGTGGCAGACCCTGTTGGTGAGGGCTGAAGAGTTCTGAGAATTCATCCACAGGCTCCTGCTTCATGAAGCCCCCCTTCCGGCAAGCTTCAAGTTGCAAACTGCTCTCGTGGCTTTCAGCAGCTATAGGGCCAGGTCGGGCCCGCTTCGTGGGGCTCCCCAGGTCTCCAGGCAGTGGGGGGCTCCGGAGTCCATTCACACAGGTGACCAGAGCTGCCTGGGAGGAGCGGATGAGGGAGGTGAGGCTGAGGCCCTCGGAGGAGACACAGGATGAAGAGGAGGCTGAGGAGGCGGCAGGTAGGCCCAAGAGGCAGCAGCGTTTCAGGCTGCCCTCTGGGAAATGGGCCTCAGGTGGGGGTCCTAGACCAGAACTGGGCTCGCTACCCAGAAGGTAGCAGGAAGGTGCATGGTTTCCAAGACCCCGGCCAGAGAGGTCCACGTCTGTGTGCAGGCCAGTGGCTGACAGGGCCCGGCAGTGGGTAGACAGGGGAGTGTGAGCTTCCACCATGGCCTGGTAGTCCGGCAGGACCTCCTGCTTGATGTGCTGTGAGGCTGGAAGACCGCCGTTGACATATGTGGTCTGGGGCCTGGGCGACCTGAAAGACAGTAGCCAGAGAGAGGTCAGGAAAGCCCAGATAGGGGATGGCAGGGAGCCTGAAACACAGAGATGGAGAAGCCCAGAGTCAGAGGGAGGCTGAGAAAGACAGGCATCAGAGACTGCTGGTGTAGGAGGAAGTGGGGGAGAGGAAACAAGTAGGATGGGTAGAGGGCTCAGGAAAGGAAGGGCCTGAACAAGGAAGTGTGGTGAATACAAAAAGCCAAAAAGGAACACTGCTTCATCCTTTAACCACAAGCCAGCCATTGATCATATGACAAACATATAAGACAACATTTCAAACCAAACCCAACTCACTGCCATCCAATTGGTTCTGACTCATAGCAACCCTGAAGAGCATAACAGACCTACTCCATAGGGTTTTTGAGATTGCAAATCTTTGGGGAAGCAGACTGCCTCATCTTTCTCTTGAAGAGCAACTGGTGAGTTCAAACTGCCAACATTTCCATTAGCAGCCCAGTGCTTAAACCACTGTACACTAGTGTTCCTAAGAGAATGTGTGGTAGTTAAGGTTTCCTGCTAACTTGACTGGGCCAAGATTCTCAGTGGTTTGGCAGTTACGAGGTAGTACTCCTTCACGATGAGATGGAATAAATGTAATCACCTTCCCATAATGTGATTGGCCCTGGGATGACATCATCCTGTTGTTCCTGTTGCTGTTAGGTGCCATCAACTGGGTTCTGACTAATAGAAATCCTAAGCACCAGAAAACAAATCACTGCCCTGTCGTGCACCATCCTCATAACTGTTGTTACACTTCAGCCTGTTGCTGGGCCACTGTGTCAATCCATCTCGTTAGGGTCTGCCTCGTTCTCATTGCCCCTCCATTTTACCAAGCATGATGCTCCTCTGCAGGTACTGCTCCCTCCTAACAACATGTCCAAAGAATGTTGAGTGCCTTCAGTGCTGCATCAGTTTGCTGAAAATTTCAATTTGCATTCCCATCAATTCGTGGAGCTTTTTTCTTCACCAATGTGTCTTCAATGTATCTTGGACTTCTCCCTTCATTATCACTGATTCTTGATCATATGCTACCTCTTGAAATGGTTGACACTGATCTTTATCTTCGAGGGGGAACTGTGTGTTCCTTCCATCTTCTTTTGATGCTTTCTGCATAATTCAATATTTTGCCCATGTTGTTGTTATGTGCCATCAAGTCGGTTCTGATCCACAGGGTCTCCAAGGAGAAGTTGGTGAGCTTGAACCACCGACCTTGCAGTTCAAACCGTCCAGTTCATTAACTTACAACGCCACACTGGACTCCATATGTTCCTTCAATATTGCAAGTCAAGGCTTGAATGTTTTCTTTTCTTTTCTTTTTTTTTTTTCAGCCTAAGAAATGCTGATCTTGTTTTCCCTTTTTAGTTTTCCAACTCCAGGTCTTTGTACATTTCATTATAATATTTTTCTTTTGTCTTTTTGAGCTGCCCTTTTTTTTTTTTAAGATTTTATTGTGAATTGAGTGAAAGTTTACAGGGCAGATCATCAGTTTTACATTCAACAAATCATATACTTTGTTTCATTGTTGTTGTTGTTGTTGTTAGGCACCATCAACTCAATACTGATTCATAGCGACCTTATGCACAGCAGAATGAAACATTGCCCGATCCTGGGCCAACCTCACAATTGTTGCCATGCTTGAGTCCATCGATGCTGCCACTTTGTTTCATTACAATGATTATAATCCCCTCCATATACCATCAGTTAACAGTATTTCTCTCTATTCATTTTAGCTCCTTTTTTTTCCTTTAAGCACTCAGGCATACATAATAATTTACACCACCAAAGGCACATTCTGCAAGTCTGCCTCCTAGCCGCCAGCTCTCAGTCCCTCTCTTCCCATGAATCTAGAGTCCTCAGCTGTTCCCTCTCTCCATGTCCCCATCTCTGCCTCCATCTCAGCTGTCGCTGCTTCTCTGGATAAGATTCCACATTCCACTTGTGCTCTTCTCCCTTGATGGTCCTAGGGTCCTCTGTTTCTGGACTGTAAGATTAACTACTCACCCCTTTTTGTTACAAAACTTCTACCTTTACAATTGTGACAGTTGCAATTGGTCATGATAACAATGATCCACTACTGAATCATAAGAATCTTATCCCCATCTCTTTTTACCAGTCCCATCTAGACACGATGAAAATTATTCAGTGGGGACTCTATCTTCCCCTACATACTCTTAAACTAAATTCCCTCTTGAAAACTTGTAAGCCAGTCACTTCGTGCCTTTATCGCCCCCTCATTTTAGGTAGCCAATGTCTAAGTTTCCCATCCCTATCTATCCTGTATACAGAGGGGATAGCATTGATACTTGATGTGAAGACTCTTCCCTCTCTGTTGGTATTTGGAGCTACACTTAACAACAACCACCTCCATGAATATAGGTCAAGTTCATCAAATTGTAGCAATTTACCATTGTTTCTTTTATCAAAAACTGTTTCCTTTTTTTATCTTCTTCTAGTCAAGTTCTGATTATCAAGCCATTGAACTAGGTCACATGGGCACTATCTGCAAGTCTGGATGTTTCTGTGCATCTCCCCTCACTTCATATCAGCTTAATGCTTCACTCACAGCTCTAGCCCTCTGTGGCTATGTCCTTGTTCATGGGCTCAGGTGTCCCCAGGTCACCATGCTTTGAACCAACGAGATCTTCCTCTTCTCTCATCTCCAGGTCAATGGGAGTCTACGTAACATGGTTGAACTCAGCCCATTTCTTCATTGCTGCCTTTCCCCTTCTTCCACTCAACAGTACACCAATGTTGTCACCAGCAAGCTTGCATGCCGGCTCATGTGTTTCCTTTGACTTTAAGTCTTAGAGGGGGATTTGTCCTGAAGGGACTTGATTGCTTGCCTTGATGGCTTCCCAGCAAACAACTTGCTTATTCTTGCAGTAGCCAATCATACTGTCATTTTTGTTTTGGGGTTTTCCTGATGAGCTTTCTTTGAAGATGTATCATCTGTCACTCTAGCTGTTCCAGGAGGGTCTGCTTGTCCTTTCTAGTGGTAATGACCCACTAGAGCTGCCCTTTTAAACTTTCTGTTCAGCTCTTTTACCTCCTAATTTCTTCCATTCACTTTAGTATCTCTACACTGGAGAACACATTTCAGAGTCTCTTCTGACCTAAAATTTGGTCTTTTATTTTCTTTCTTGATTCTTTTCATGACCTTTTGCCTTCCTCCTGTATGATGTTCTTAATGTCATCCTACAACTCTTCTGGTTTTCAGTCATTAGTGGCAAATCTTTTCTTAAGACGGTATCTACAATCAATGGCATATGTTCAAGGTCATATTTTGACTCTCATGGACTTGTTTTAATTTTCTTCAGCTTCAGCCTGAACTGGCATATAAGCTATTGATTCTTTGTTCCACAGTCTGCCCCTGGCCTTGTTTTGGCTGATGATATGGAGCTTGTCCACCATCTCTTCTCACAGATGTAGTCAATTTGATTTCCATGTTTTCCATCTGGTGAGGTCCATGTGTATACTAATCTTTTATGCTGCTTAAAAAACGATATTTGCAATCAATAAGTCATTGGTCTTGCAAAATTCAATCATGTGATCTCCAGCATCATTTCTATTATCAAGGCCAATATTTTCTAATTACTGATCCTTCCTCTTTATTTCTAACCTTCACATTCTATTTGCCAGTAATTATCAATACATCTTGATTGCATGTTTGATCAATTTCACACTGAAGCAGTTGGTAGAATTCATCAATTTCATCATCACTGGCTTTAGTGGTTGGTGCACTTTTTGAATAACAGTGGTATTAACTGGTCTTCCTTGTAGGCATATTATAGGATATAGGATATTATCCAATCACAGTGTTGTACTTCAAGACAGACCTTGAGATGTTCTTTTTGATGATGGCTGTGACACCATCCCTCTTCAATTTGTCATTCTGGCACAGCAAACCATATTATTTCAAGATTCAACATTACTGGAGGAGGAAATGATACATGCACTAGAAGGTAGACACTTATTGACATGGGTGATGGGGCAGGCAATATACAACCAGAGGGAGTCTGTCAGAGGAAAGATGGGGGTGGCGGGAGACACAGGGAGGAATGTAGTGATTAAAGTGAATAGAGGTAAATGCTGTTAACTGTTGGTGCATGGAGGGGATAGCAAACATGTAATGAAGCAAAGTATATGATTTGTCGAATGTGAAACTAATGATCTGCTCTGTAAACCTGCATTCAATTCACAATAAAAAGTTGTTTTTTTTAAGAAAAAGATTCAAAATTGCCAATGCTAGTTGATATCTGCACATTAATACCCAGGATATTTATCTGTATGCATTCCATTTCATTTTGAAGACCTCCAATTTTCCTAGGTTCATACTTTGTACATTCCATGTTCTGATCATTAATGGATGTTTATGCCATTCTGACTCATTTTTGAGGTGTGTCCCATCAGCAAATGAAGGGCCCAAAGGCTGTACTACATTTGTGTCATCAAGGTCAACTCTGCTTTCAGGAGGCAGCACTTCCCCAGTCATACTTTGAGTGCCTTCTAAGGGGCTCATCTTCTGGCACTATATCTGACAATATTGTGGTCCTATTCATAATGTTTTCTTCTTTCTGCACTGTATCTGACAATGCTGTACTGCTACTTATTAGGTTTTCAGTGGCTAAACATTCTGAAGTAGTCTACCTCTTCTTCTTCCTAGTCTGTCTTAGTTTAGAAGCTGCAATGAAATCTGTCCACCATAGGTAACCTTGCTTGTATTTAAAATACCCCTGGCATAGCTTCCAGCATCACAGCAACATGACAGCATGGCAAACTGACAGAAGAGTGGCATTGTAAAGCCTCGCATCTATGATGTTAACGATGTCAAATGCAATCTAAAGTATTAGGTTGTCTCTAGAGTCAATCTCTTGTAAAATATAGAAGGATAGAGAAGTGAGCAGAGCTCAGAAGGACTTACTACCACCAAGACAAAAGAGCCATGAGAGGAGGTGTCCTTTGCATCTGGGTTCCCTG